CCACTGGGGTTGCCTAGGACAAAAAGACCAGTGCTCTGAACAGAGGGACAAGGTGAAGAGCCACATGGTGGGTAACAGGAGCACTCAAAAACTCTACAAGGAGACTGCAGAAACTTAGGTTTGGTGGGTCTGATCTCTCTTACATAGGTCATGTAGACTCTTTATTTTCTTCTTGAACAAGGTACAATTGCACATAGCCAAAGGGAGCATACTGGTTCTGAACATGACAGCTTCTCCACCATTATTAAAACAGAAAGCGACATTACACTCAATTTTGGTGAAGGGCTGGTTTTGTAAGTGTTCGTCAACCTAAAAGTTCATAAGAAACATTAATAATAGCTGTGAGTGCTACCTAAACTCTAGCCTAAAGCAAGCATCTCTCAACTATATATCTATTGGTAGCAGATCATAAAACAATCTCTATTGCAAATGGTTATCAAATAAAGGGTGTATAACTGCAATCTCAACTGAGGATGTCAGATCATTAGGTATGCATGTCCTCTGTACTCCTTGCACTGTTGCTATTATTTTGCAACAGCTCTTTGTGTTTGTTCTTAAGGAGAGTTATTTTTCAAAACCTTAGAAAACATACTGAAATTTCTTCTAACCATTCCCCCCCACCAAAGGCTATAGTATTGCCAAGATAGCAAATATTTGCTTTCTTCTGGAAAGCAGTAGTGGTATCTGTGGTAAGGAGAAGCTGCACGTTTATTCTAAGTTATACAAAGCAAGATTTTCATTTGTAAGATGTTTGTATGAATAAGCATTAATCAAATTTTTTAACTAGTATTTTCTATGCATCATCATGACAGTTTATGAAAGCCACTTCTTATAAAATAAGGAAAAACATTATGCCATTTGAACAAGCTCTTTCGCATAATTTTTAAGACTTTCCCAGATTGAATGCAATTACTGGTGAACCCGAAACTTTTGATGTATAAAGGGTTTAGTTATCCAGAACAGTGTGCCAGTACAGACCACAGAGTACCAATGCTGACAGGGATATTGTGTGTGTGTAAAAATAAATGTAAATCATGCCCATCCTCAAAAAAAGCCCAAACAAAACAATTGTGCTCACAGCAGAGCTAAAATTTACTACTGTCCAATGCATTAGAGTTTAAATGCACACACTCCTAATTTAGAGGACTTGTTGATTTCATGTTACAGGACATACAACTGCACAATATTAAGTATGGAAACAGAATAAAGGGATAAAGGGATACACCTAGCCTACACAGTAGCCAGGAGAAAGATGAATGAATGTTGACTTTGCTACATATATTCTCACAGCCAACACTAACTTGAGTGATTTTATACCTAAGATGTCATGGACTTTTTGACAGAAAGTATCAGGTTAATAGAATCAAGATAATTCTTCATCACATAGTAAGAAAACATTAGAAGCATTTGTAAGAGTAAGATCCAACGCCCATCCTTATTTCAGATCTTATTCCCTACAGTTTTGTGACAAGCTTAGCCACTGACATTCATCTGAGGAAAGTGCTGGAGCCTTAATTTCTTCTACTTCCATACTACCTTTCCATTTCTTTTTTTCAAACTTCACACCTTCTCTCTGCTCTGATGGAGACCAGGGTAGTGCAGTCCAGAATCCCTCACCATACTACAGAAAGGATGATGTACCCTGTACACCACAACTGTACTCAGCCTTCTTCCAAAAACAACACTCTTCACAGGGTCAAGAGGCACCTGACCCTCCTTCATCTCTTCTTTACTACTTCCTCCCCATGTGCCTTTCCCTAAAACATCAAGGAAATAGTATGCAAAATCCAAGTAAACAGGAAATGACCTTAGCACTCACAATAACATCAAATTCAATTGTCTTTGGGCCAAGAGATTTTGTATTATTGTAATTGAGTAATTCCTGTAGGTCACTTGAAGAATGGTAATTGACAACATAGGGGATCTTCTTCCAAGACAAGCACAGAGTAAAATGCATTACTTCAAAAATTTACCAAAAAGAAGTTGATTTTTCTGCAGGTTCTTTATTACTGAGGATTAAGTGATAAGTTTCTGAATTCTCCTACATGGCTAATGTCAGAGACATGAACTTCCATGTATTGAATATATACCAGTTTTCAGAAACAAGTTTGGCATTTAGTTTTGGACTTTAATTTTGGAGGTAGGTCATGTAAAACTCCTTACTTCCTATGGAAGACATTTCAATAGTTCGCATGAATTATAGAACATGCTAATCTGATTGAAATCTCCTCAGAAAACAAAACTCCATTAACACTCCCATGTGAAAGAATTAGTCCTCCTTTAAACCACAAAAGGCATTTCTGGTAACTCCCTTCTACCAACGCATTCCATCCTCTTATGACAATCATTTACCTGCGACTTGCTTTACAGCTTATGTGGATTGGCAGGAAATGGAAGAAGTAGAGAAGACCATAGTAATAAATTTAGATCTCAAGAGGCTTTCTGAGACCTTTTATCAGTAAATCAAATAAAACCAGACAACAATGACATGACAGATAAGAGGAAGTTTGGTTTGTCTCAGTGCTTCATTCCTGTGCCTGTTTCAGAATTTCATAACAATAAAAAGCACCACCATTTCTTCATGCTCATTGGATTGTATTCCACTTTTCCTTGGCTCCAATATATGTTGAGGGCAGTTTGGCCCTCTGCTGACCTGCTGCCTTATGTCTCCTCTCTTTACCCTGACAGGATTCAACCACCTTGAAAATTACAGACCTTTGTGGGCAAGAGAAGAGTGAGCTTGACATCCCAGATACCGTAATGAGTCTCTGCTCAGGGTATGACATTACAAAAGCTTTACTGAATGAGAAAATGCAGTAATCTGCACAAGGAACAGAGCAGCACTGTATAAGCTCAAGAGGACATGGCAGCTTGGTTGCCTCAGGGAAAAGGAGCACACCTTGAAAATTACAGACCTTTGTGGGCAAGAGAAGAGTGAGCTTGACATCCCAGATACCGTAATGAGTCTCTGCTCAGGGTATGACATTACAAAAGCTTTACTGAATGAGAAAATGCAGTAATCTGCACAAGGAACAGAGCAGCACTGTATAAGCTCAAGAGGACATGGCAGCTTGGTTGCCTCAGGGAAAAGGAGCACGAGCTGTCATAAAGTCACTGAGAGGTAAGTAATTGCCCAGCCTGTGTACATTACACAGCTGGAAGATACACTTCTGCTATAATCCCCACTGCACACATCCACAGAAACAGCACAATCACATATAAATAAGGTCACAACTTACAAAGCCATTTCTAGCTTTGGCCTCAAGGACTATATTACAGATGTTTGCAATGTCATCTGAGAAACTAGTTTTATATAACTTGCTCCAGTGTTCTCCATGCCCATCAGCCTCCCACGATTCCTTTTTATCCTCTCATAACTTCTCTGGTCCTATTGCTAACTGTTGAAGACTGCAAAGACTTCTGGTATCCTGCACCCAGACATCAGAGCCTCGTCAGAATCTTTTTTTCACTCCCCTTTTCTCTTTTCATAGACAGTATAGGTATTATTCCTCTTACATCCCTCAAATGTCTTCTACTCAAAACATTTATAAGTGACACCTGTTTCCACAGTTCTGTAACAGACCTAGGTCCAGAAGGGTCCATGTTCCTTGGAATAATACGGCTGCTTGAAAGAAGATCACTGGCACTGGCACAGTATGAGCAATGCAAGTGAGACACAAAAGCCAAACTACTAAAAGCCAAACTTACTGAAATCCAAATTGAAGAAACACAGGTCAGTCTCTTGGGGAAGACCATTAACTGTTCACTTTTCCATTGTAATGATTCACCTGGGGGAGCTAGAGGGCAATTTGCTCATAGGTTAATTGCAGCATAGACTTAAAAGAAGGGTGGAAGACTGAAACTACAGGCAGAGCTTTCTGGCCTTATGTTAAACCACATGCACTGAATTTACTGTGTACATTTGTAGTTAAAACTAATTTTTTTTGACTGCTACATAGACCTATATATTTTAGCCAGTGAATCACTGTTTCAAGTCTCAGAGCAATGTTGTTGAAGAATTTCTGTAATGTTTTGAAAGTCAAAAATGAAATAAGTAAAAAAGTCTAAAGAACTTTGCAGGTTCCCCTGCAATAATCTATGACTACTTCAAACTGAAGAGAACATGAATTTGAAATTCAAGACTAGAACATAGACACTTAGAGCTCCAAGTAATAACCTGAAGCACTGTATTGTGTCCTTGCACCTACAGTTTGATTACAAGTCTTTGCATCTAACACAAGCCGTTGAATACAAATAAAATTTCCATCCATAATACTTGACACCACAGACAGAAGTCTAGAACAAAAAAAGAAACCCTCAAAACTCCTCTATTAATCAGTTAGAGAGACTTAAAAGTGCCAATGAGGGTCTGAGAAGACAAAAGACTTGCTAGTGTCGGTCATGCCAGTATATCTCATGGCTCTCCTCGGCTCTTAAACCAGCCCAGGTCCCTGCAACACCTTGAACAACATTAAAATTTTCTAAGGTATGTCTGAATGAGTTATCCTGGATACTGTGATGACTGCAGCATAAGAATATTCCCAGCAACTCTTTTGCTACTGAGGAAGCAGATAGGAATGTGTGACGTAAAAAATACAACAGCGGTTTTGTGTGATCAGAGGCTTCCTAATTGTGCATGGATCCTTCACTAATTACTTACGCCAGTTTCAAGGCTACTTTAGTGAAAAGTAGCAACAAAGTGTTTTAACATATTTCTGTCTGGAGGTAATTGACATCCACTTATTACAGAGGCCCAACATTTGAAAAGCCACTTCTATTGCCTGTTGCCACCTCTACATGTCTACCTCAAAGATTCTTTTACTAGAAAGAAATGTGAATTCAAGTACTTAAGAGAAAGACAGAAACAACTATTTCTCAATGTGCCTGTCCAGCAATGTAATATATCCCTGCACATTTTTCAAAGGAAATGACCCTATTCTATGAGATCAGAACCCAAACTAG